ATTTTTTTATTTTTTTTTTTTCGTTGAATTTTATTTTTTTCTTTTTTTTTTTTTTTTTTTTATTTTTAATTTTTTGTATTTTACAAAGGCAGTTGCATGATTTTGATTTTTATTTTTTTCTATATATACCTTTTTTATTAATAATTATAATAATTATCATTTTTTGTTTGTTGGGGCTCTTAATTATTTTTATCATTTAACCAATTAACATAAATATTTTTTTTTTTTTTTTTTTTAAATTTAAAAAAAAAAAAAACTTTTAAAAAGATGATGATAATGATGGTGAAGGGCTATGGTAAAAATCCTAAAAAAAAAGGACGCGTTCGCACTTTTTTATTTTTATTTTTTTTATTTTTATTTTTTTATTTTTTTATTTTTTTTTTTATTGCAATTATATAGTTACACACACAATTATTTTTGTTGACATGACATCATTTGTAACAATTATTTTAAAAAAAATTGGATTGAAATAAAAAAAATAAAATGGGGTCCCAGCTAGCAAAGATTTTTAATTAAAAAAATTCGTTTGGTGTTTTGGTAATTAAACCAATCAATGCTATATGTAAATATTTAATTAATTTATTTACTTTGACATAAATTTTTTTATAATATATCTTTGTAGCTTCTTTTTTTTAAATTGGATTGAAATTGAATGATTTGAAAAACATTAATGCGAGTAATACAACCTCATTACATTATTGCAACACAAATTAAAACCATCACTTTATTTTCAGACTGAAATAATAGTGAATAAAAATATAAATGACAAATAACCCCATTCATTTTAAAATATTATCATTGTTTTGGAATAACTGACCCTATTTTTATTATTTTCTTTTTTTAATAAAATTTTAAAATAAAAAAAGAAAAAAAATAAAAATAAAAATAAAAAAATAATTTTTTTTTTTTTTTTTTAAAAATTTTAAACAAACATAAAATTTTTTTATTTTGCAAAATAAAAAAAAAAATAGATAAATAATCGAAGGATTCTTTCAATTATTATTTTATATTATTTTTAATAGTAATAGTATTTTTATTATTTAGATAGTATACTTTTTTATTTTTTTATTTATTTAAAATAGTATAAAAAATAATCTTTTTTTTTCTTTTATTAAATATATAAAAGTTAAAAAAAAGTATATCAATAGTAAAAATGGATCCGTTATCACCAAAAGAAATGTCAGGTGCCACAAAAACAACACCATCATCACCAACCACTGGCACAAAAAAACCAATTAAAAGATATTTACACAACTATGGTAGATACTCAAGTGTTTATAAAAATAGTTTTGCCCTTTGGGCCGAAAAATGGTATAGAAGAAGTATTTCAATTTCATTGATTTCAATTGTTCTTGTTGTTTTGACCATTTTATTCCCAGTATTAGCAATTGTTGCATTGGCATTCGATATGTATCATTATAAACGTCGTAAAGGTTTAAATTATGTCAGAATTTTATCATTTTTTGAATCTTATCTTTTAATCGAAGCCATTGCCTTATTTTCAACATTTTTAATTTATGCACTTTATATGGTCTCTTTAGTATTTGCATCTGACCCAGAACAAAAACGTTATTTCCGTTGGAATTACTGGTATCAAAGTTGGTGGGGCGGTAAAATGCTTTTTGGTTGGAGTACTTCATTATTAGGTATCCAAGTAGAACTTGAAATTGATGGCAATGTTAAAGAGAAGTTTGTTGCTCCATACAATGGTAACATTAAACAAAGAATTGCTGATTCTCTTGGTGTTGGTCCAAAAATTGTTTTCTCAAGACATGCTAGTTTTGCAGATACCCTTGTTCCACAGTAAGTATTGAATATTTATTACTGCCACTTTTTTTTTTTTTTCATTTATTAACCCTATTCATTTATTATAGAGGTATTTTCTCACAATTTTATCATATGAGATACATTGTTAAAAAAGAATTACTTTGGGATCCAGCTCTTGATGTATCAGGTTCAAGAACTCCAAACTTTTTCCTTTTCAGAGATGCTGGCACAGATGGTATGGATGTTGAAATGGATGCAATTAGATCTATGGTTTCAGATTTCAAGCCAAGTGAACCAGATGTTACTTGCATTTGGCCAGAAGGTACTAGATTCTCAAAATCAAAGAGAGAAAAGGTTTTAGAAAGTTTCAAAAAGAAAAATGACACTAAAAATTATCAATTGGCTTCAAATTTAAAACATACTTTGTTACCAAGAGTTGGTGGTGTTTTAGCTTTATTAGAATCAAACCCATGTGGTGATATTGTAATTATAGTTTTATTTTTATTTTACTTTAAATAATAATCATATTAATACTAATAATTTCAATTTTTATTATTATAGCTTTTCTGTTATCATTTTGGTATGGAGGCTTCATCCAATTTCTCACAAATGATGAATGGCGAATTATGTAATAGAGTTGTAAAAATTAAATTTGAACAAATTAAATATAAAGATATTCCAAAAACAAAACAAGAAAGAATTGATTGGTTACTTAATAAATGGGTTGATATTGATAAATGGGTTGCCAAACAAGATGAACTTTATCATGCCGAAAAAGGAACATTAAAACCAAAGAAAAATTAAATCATCAAATTATTAGAAAAAATTAAAATTAAACCATATTATCATAAATTATAATAATAAAAAAAAAAAACAATTATATTTTTTTTTTCCACCAAAAAATAACCAAATCGGATATTTTCTTTTTTTTTTTTTTTTTATTTTTTTTTTATTTTTATATTTTTATAAACATATTAAAAAAATAAAAATAATAGTAATAAAAAAAATAAAAATAAAAATAATAACATTTTTTTTTTTACAAATATTTTTATTTTAAAATTAAATATCAAATAATTTTTTTATTGTATATATCTTTTTTTTTCAAAAATAACGACATCGCAAAATATCTATAAATTGGGTTGAAGCATACCTCCCTAAAAAAAAAAAAAAAAAACTTAAAAAAAAAAAAAATAAAAATAAAAAAAAAAAAAAAAAAAAAAAAAAAAAAAAAATTTTTCAAATTTTTTTTTTTGAATTTTTTTTTGGGGTGGGTGCAATTTTCGTGTCTTAACTATTCACACATAATATTTCACACACATACACACCACACATACACACATTAAACAAAACAACTCTCCATTATTTCAAATACTATACATTGTTTTTTGATATTAAATTTATAATTATATTATTATTTTTTTTTTTTAAACTTATAAAATTGTATATATAATATAAATTTAAAATATATGTAAAGTTTTTTTTCTTTAAATATCTTAATGGACTATAGTAATAATTTAAATATAACTAGCACAAGAAGAAATAGTAATGGTGGGGTAACAATATTAACAAAATTAAAAAATAGCAGTGGCAATAATTCCCCAAATATTAGTAGTAGCAATAATAATAATAATAATAATGCAACAAACGAGGCAATTGAAGAGCTTTTAATAAAAGCAGAGGAGGAGAATGAAAAAATTATAAAAGATGAAATAATAAATGAAATAAATAATAATAGTAGTAATAATAGCAACAACAACAACAATAATAATAATAATAATAATAATAGCCACAGCCACAGTGAAGAAAATGAAGATACCGAAGATTTAAAATTAGAAGATGTAGAGGAAAATAGTGACGATAGTGGCAGTAGTAGTAGTATAAATAGTAAAAAAGAATTTGCAAAGTCACTTGAAAGTCATTTTTTTTCAAACTACACATATTATTTAAAGTTATTAGAACAAATAAGAAGGGAAGATAACAGATTTGACCATAGCATTGGTTTTAAAGTCGTTATGGAATACACAAGATTTATTGTTTTAAAGGTGTTGGAAAAAGATGAGAAGGATCAAATAATTATAGCGCCGCCATTAGTTGAAACTTTTTGGAAATATCACATTTTAAATACCGAAGAATATGAAAAGTTTTGTGGTTTAGCAAATTTAAAAATTCATTATTATCCTCCTAATCACTATGATAGGGATCATATTGTCACAGGTTATCAAAAAACTTTAAGCCTGTATAGATTGTATTTTAAAGATTCAGAATTGGATACTTCAATTTGGGTTAATAATATTTGGGAAAAATCACCTATAATTTCACCAAGGGTACAGGTTTTACCAATTATCCAACATGTTAATAGCAATGGTAATAATTCACCTCACCAGCCACAACATCCACAATTACTGCAACCACAAACACAATCGGTGCCCCAGTATCAACTCCAAAGCCAGCTTTCAAAATTGCAACAAGTGTCACAACCTTTAATATCTAGTTTATCTCCATCCTCTTCACAAATTCAGCAACATCAAACTCAGTCTCAACAGTTATTACAACAACAATTACAAATAGACCATATAATTCATTTAGAAAATGAAAATTCAGGCCAAGAGTCAAATATAGGTTCATCACCAAATTCAGCAACTACATCACCATTATTATCATCGATACCAAAAAAAAGAGGAAGACCACCTAAATTCCAGGCACAAACCGCCCAACAAATCAATAATATCGTCGCCAACATTAGCGGTAAACCAACTTCATATGGTGATGGATTTTCTCTAAACGAGAGCATCGATTACGAAAATGAAGCGATTAATAAAAAAAATAAGAATATTAATAATAGTAACATCAGTAATAGTACAATAAATTGTAATATAAATAATGATAACGATTCAACTAATAAAATAAATTATTCTTTTAATAACAATAATAATAACAATAGCAATAATAATAATAATAATCAAACAACAACAACAACCACAACAACAACAACAGCAAACATTTCAAATAATAATACACCAAATAAAAAATCTAAAGGTAATCAATCAGATAATCCTAAATGTACTAGATGTAATGAACAAAGTGCATGGAAACATGATAAAAAGAGATGGTGGTGTAAAAATTGTAAAAAATCATTTACCCCAGGAGTAAACCCCAAACCATATAATAGTGTCGCTAATATTGGCCATAGTGGTGGCGGCGGTTTACTTATGTCAATCAGACAAGACCAAAACTTTCACTCTCATATAACTCCAAACTCATCAAATATATCACCAAATAAACAAGAAAATTTTCAAAAATTAAAAAGTTATATTAGTGTTATAAATAGTGAATTGGAACAGCAACATAAACAGGATAATAAAATAATACAAAAAGATATTAGTGGTTATGGTGCAAAAAAAACAGATCTTGATGATGAAGAGGAGTACGATTATGACGAAGAAATGGTTATAGAAGAAAATAGTAGTGGTAGCAGTAACAACAGCAACAGCAGCAATAATAACAATCTTGATGACCCAAATAAAGAGACAGGAGGTTTTACCGTGTTTTTAAAGGATGCAAATGGTGTAACAAATATTAAAGTGCTTAAAAAATATACAGTAGAACAACTAAAGCACTTGATCAAACGTATAAAAGGAGTCCCAACAAACCAACAGTATTTAGTATATAATAACAAATATATTGACAACACTTGTCTTTCATCAACTTTAGAATCACTTGGAATGGTCAGGGATAGCACTGTTTATTTAGACTTAAAATAAACTAAAAACAACAACAATAATATAAAATACAATAATAATTTATAAATAAAAAATCGAATCAGTTTAAAAATATAAAATAAAAAATCATTGTTGTAAATATAGCCATTGTTCAATTTATTATTTTCTATTATTTTTAGTTGTAAAAAAAGAAAAAAAAAAATATAATTAAAAGTTTTTTATATTTTATGTTTATTTTTTATTTATAATATAATATAAAATAAAAGATAAAAAAAAAAAAGATGGGAATGTAAATATTTGTATAAATTATTGAAATATTGGATTGTTTTTTTTTTTTGTGATTTTTTTTATAATTTCTTTTTTTAATTGAAATATATAATAGAGAAAAAAAAGAAATGGTTTATTATTTTTATTCATCATCGCCTAGTACCATGGTGAATTGAGTTTGAGCATTTACAGATAGAGATCTACGTCTTTCAAAGGTAGTTTCTTGAAGTTTTGATAAGATTGGTAATTGGGGTAATGGTTGTGGTGATTGAGGTGATTGTGGTTGTACCCATCCACTATGGTTCATATTTACATTGTTATTATTATTATTATTATTGTTATAACTTGGGCTTGAGGAAAAACTAATTGGTGACATTCTACCATTTTCAAAAATATTACTACCTGAAATTTTCATAAAGCTTGGTGGGGTGTTTCTTAAAGAATTATAAGGTGAGTTTTGGGCACTACCGCCACTTGATGTATTAACACCAATACTACCACTAGAATTGTTGTTTGTTAAATTGAAAATATCAGGAGCTGAATAGGAGAAGCCTTGGAATGCCATTTGGTCAGATTCAGATAGATTTGAATTTGTTGTGTATGGATTAATTGGTTGGGATTGCAAAGTGCAGGCAGGATCAAAATAAGATAAATCTAATGGACCTATTAAATGGGGCTTGAATGGTGGGTCGACTTCTTTATTTAATAGTTTGGACCAATTCATACTCTTAAAGAATGGATGAGCTTTGATTTCCTCGACATCTGACTCACCAGATCCCAAACGTTTTGTGGGGTCTCTGTTTAATAAAAGTGATATTAGAGATGCTGCATTCTTTGAGATATTTGGTGGGAATTTTAATGGAGATGATAGGATTAGTTTGGACATTTCGTGTGGATCTTCACTATAGAATGGTGGTAGGCCGGCAATCATTTCGTAAAACAAAGTACCTAATGCCCACCAATCAACGGATCTACTATAGCCAGTACCAGTAATAATTTCGGGTGCTACATATTCAGGGGAGCCACACATTGTAAAGCAATATTGACCTTCTTTTACATCTTCTTTACATAGACCTAAATCTACTAAACAAATATTACCATCCAAGTCCATCAAAAGGTTCTCTAATTTCAAGTCACGATAGATTACACCATGTTCGTGGAGGAAACCGATAGCCAACATAATTTGCGATATATAAAAACGAGCTGTCTCCTCGCTAAAAGTTTCTCTTTCCGAAATATGGTAAAATAATTCACCACCTCCGATGTAATCTAGTACCATACACAAACTATCTTGTGTTTGAAAAGAGTACTTTAAACCTACGATGAATGGGTGATAATATTTCTTTAATAGCTTTCGTTCAGTGAATGTATGTCCTACTGCGTTCATATTTAAACATCTATCTTTTTTTATTATTTTCATTGCATATAATCTTCCTGTATCTATTTTTTTAACTAAATTTACTTGACCAAATGCACCTCTACCAATCATTCTTAAATATATAAAATCGTTAACTGAAACTTTTTTCTTTTTTTTTTTTTAAAAAAAAGATCGTTAATCGTTAGAAAATTATACTTTAAAAGAATTAATAATAATAAAAATAAAGTTTTTACATACACCAGAATTTGTAAAACTTAATTTAACATGAATTGAGACTGATGGACTACCATTCAATGGGAACCATTGATCACAAAATTGTTTTTTGAATGTTAAAAATGGAATATAAACTTTTCCTATTAATTTAGCTAAGTTAGTATTTACACCACTTATGACAGGACTTCCCATTTTTACATCATTATTATTTTTACTGCTACTATCGCTAATATTGGTTTGATTAAAATTACCTTGCCAAATGGATAAAGCTAATACGGACTTTGATGAAATTACATCACTTATTTTTTTGAAATATTTCAAAAAAAAAATTAGTTTGATATTATTTTTTTTATGATTAATGAAAAAAGGTTTTAAAATACTTACAAGGTATATCCTTCATTCCATTCGATTGGTGATTGGTCTCTAACAATAATTGAAGATGTTTGTATTGATTGTTTTTCCAATGAAGCTAAACAATAAATTCTAACAGGTTCGTCTATTTTCAAACCTTTTATACTCTTTAGCGAGAAAAATAGTTGAGCTTGATTTTCTAGAATATCTTCATTTAAACTCCATGCATGTTCTTCTTGCTGTTTTTTGGATAGTAACGAATTATAAATATCTTTAAGCATTATATGATTTTATATTTTATACTTTATATTTTATATTTATATTTATATTTTATAATAACAACAGATTTAAATAAATAATATATATATTTTTATTGTGGAAAACAAACTTTTTATTTACATAAAAAAAAACAAAATAAAATCTTTAGTTTACAACAACAAAAAAATAATAAAAATAAATAAAGCTATTTCTTTTTTTTTTATTTTTTTATTTTTTTTTTAATTTAAATTTTGGGATAATATATAATAATATTTATAAAAAAATATGATATGAATATTGAAAAAAATATTTACAAAAAAAAAAAATAGATATATATAATAGTTGATTAAATTGATCTGATTCAACACAACAAAATAAAAAAAAAATAAAACACTATGTGATCTATTGTTATTATTACGAGGTTATATGGATAGTAATTTTTTTTGGGATAGAATAAACATTTAAAAGAATTTGGTTGTTGTTATTGATAATTATTATTAAAATAATAATAAAAAATAAAAAAATAAAAAAAAAAATAAAATATAAAAAAAAATTTAAAAAAAAAAAAATAAAAAAAAAAAAAATATCCACAAATTTTTTTTTTTTTTTATTAATATTTTACTTTTTCCAAAGAGATAGCATTAAGATTTTAACTATTAAATAGAATCAACCCCATATTAATTTTTTATTGACAAACACAAATTTAATTTTTTTTCCTTTATTCATAATAATTGATTTATTTGAAATCTTTAATTTAGCAGATTGCGAAAATACACATTATTACAACTTCAACAACAAAGTACTTTATTTTATCAATGGGTGTTAAATTTGTAAAAAGAAAATTCTGCTATATTCCAAAAAAAGTAAAAAAGTAAAGATACAATATGCACACATTTAGATTAAGATTGAAAATTTAAAAAAAAAAACCCATTTTAATTTTTTCCTACACAGAATATAGTTAATATTAAATTTGATCTAAGGGATAGTTTTTTATTATTAATAATGATAAAGAAAAATATCTATATTTTCTTATTATAATAATTTTATGATAAAAAAAGAAAGAAAGAAGCTTATTTAAAGAATTTCAAACAATCAATAAACAACATCCAAACTAAAATTAATTAAGAAATATGATACAAAAGCATCAAAGGTCGAAAAGAAATGTGAAAAGAAAGATAAATATGGCCGTCGTCATGACTACCCTTCTCCAGCCACCAATTATTCAAATGATGGTTATAAACAAAGAAAACTTCAATACAAAAACCAATCATTACAAAAGAAAACAGTCATCTTATTAACAAAACTTCAACGTATCGATTCAAAACTTTAATTCTTTAACCCTACCCAGTTCCAGCCCAAACCTATTCATACTATCTTTTTTTTTTTTTTTAAAAGTGAATCATACTATCAACAGGTTTCTCCAAAACCATATTATCCACAACAATCATATGTAAAAAAGTAAAAGATTTTAAAACTATTATTGTGTTATGTAAATTTCTAAAAATTTCTGCAGCGCATTTATCAACATAGTTTTCTTTTTTTTTTAAAAGTGAAAACATAGTTTTGGTATTGAAAAAAAATGAAAGCCAAATACATTCGGAACTAACGCTAAAATCACCGGAAAGATGAATCCGTATTCAAAAAGATATGCGCATGCTGGGAATCGAACCCAGTTCGCATCCGTGGCAGGGATGCATCATACCACTAGACCACATGCGCAGTTTGATGATAATTGTTAAATCCTGCATAATTATGTGTTTTTGTTGAAACCAAGTAGTAACCTCATATTTGCCCCAATATATGTAATTAAGTTGGTAAAATTCAGTAAGAAAAGGAAGGATCTATAATTTTTAAAACAATGCGATTAAATATAAAACTAAAAAAAAATTAGTCTCACAACACTCACATTCGGTGATAATTTTAACCAAGTAATTCCACCCGGCACATTGCCAAATAGTCTCAGACTATTGGGAATATTTGTACATCAAATGATCTGCCATCTGGGTCTTTGTATTGGTTCTTAAAGTGTTTCTTGAAGTATTCGTATTTTAATAGCTTTACATGTTGTCTGAACAGCATATTACCATCGAAAGGGATACAAACATCAATAACACGGATGATGTTTTACTTTATCAATGACTACAATATCAGGTTTATTTTGTATTGAGTCAGAGTTTTTAAAACAGACATCACGTAAGATTTCAACATTGATGATGGTTTGATTGTTTTCCTTTAAAGAGTTTGAGAAGATGGGTGCCTTGAAGTTTGTGATGTTGGGATTTCATAAATCTATTATAAAAAATTTATTGATTGTAATAGTTAGTTTTTTAAATAATATCCCAATTGTCCAAATAATAAATCGGGGATGGAAAAGTTTATAAAAATGTTATCTTTTCATTAAAAATTATATAATAATTAAAAAAAGAAATAAATAAAATATATTTATTTTTAAATTATATTTTTATTTTATTGAGTAATAAATATTTTAAATTGGTAATTAAAAAAAAAAAAAAAAAAAAGAGAAAATTGTTTTTTAAAAAAAGAAAAAAAATTTTATAATAAATTAAAAAAATCTTTTTTATAATAATATTTATAAAAAATAAAATAGTTTTTTAAGTTAATTATTGAAATAGTTTTTTAAGATTTAATCATAAATTTTTTTTTTAAAAAATTTTTTCAATTATTTGAAATTTGATGATAAATAAAAAAAAAAATCTTTTTTTTTTTGTTAATCAGAAAAAAAGACCATTATGATAAAGAAATTTATATTTTATTTTATTTGATTTCTTTTTTTTTATTTTGATTATGTTCAAAAAACTATAAAAAGAAAATTTATTTTAATTTTTTTTATATTTCAAAATAAAAAATGAAAATAAAAAATATTATATTATTTATTTATATTATTCAGTTATTGTTTACAAGTGTTTTTGGTGCCGAAAAAAAAGTTAATGGGGAATTAACATTCTATGCTGCTGGAGACAATTGTCCACCCAGTGCCGAAATTGCTTATCCAACGACATCTATGCCACAGGCTGGTGGAGTAGGAACTTACAGTGATCCTATTACATGTGCTAGTGCCAGTGCATGGTTTCCTGTTCATTCGCTCGTTTATATCCCAGCTTACAAAAAGTATTTCATTATGGCCGATTCATGTGAAGAATGTGAAAATGAATGGGATGATGATGGAACATACCATATAGATGCTTGGCTTGGCCCATCCACAGTTTCACAGGGTACAACTAATTGTGAAGTCCAGCTCTCTTTAAGTAATACCCAATTTATTATTAACCCTGTTTCGACATATGCCGTAATTACAACACCATTCTTCCAAAATGGAACTTGTATAACACCTATCACAGATCCATGTGTTGATGAGGGAAATGAATGTGGTAATACTTGCCAACTACCAAGTGCTATGTCTTGCCAAGCTGCAGCAAACTTGTTTGGTATAACTTTAGCTAGATTTAAAGCATTGAATCCCTCTCTAGGTTGCACAAGTAATATTGCCAAAGGTAAAACTGTTTGTATGAGTGGTTCGTGTGGTGGCCCATAAACCTTTGGATTTTCAATCTTTTTTTTAAATATTATTTATTAATATAAAAAAAAAAACAAAATAAAAAATAAAAAAAGAATTTTATTAAAAAAACCAATGTTTTAAATTTTTTAAAAAAAAAATTAAAAAAAAAAAAAAAATAAATCTGTATATTAAAGATTACATAAAAAAAAAGATATATAAACCCAATTTTCAAGAAAATATATTTATAGATAGTAATGGTGTAAATGATTAATAATCACTTGGAGCCCATAATAAAAAAATAAATAAAAAAAATAATTTAAAAAAAAAAAAAAAAAAAAGGCATTAACAGATTTTACAAACAATTAGTTTAGAAAATATATTATAAAAATAAACAATTTTTTCTAAAAACGTTTGAATATTATTATTTTTATTATTTAATGAAAAAAAAAAAGATAATATTTTTTATTTAAAAAAAAAAAAAAAATTATTTAAAGTAAATAGTAATAAATTGTTATTTGTTTAAACACACTTTTTTAAATAATTTTGTATTAATGAAAAAAAACCAAAATATAGATATAGATATTGTCATTATATAAAAAAAAATTATTTGTTTTTTTTTTGTTGCACATGGTCATAAAAATTATTTAAAAAAAACAAAAAAAACCATAAATCTTTTTTTGTTAAGGCTTGCAAAAGATTATAAAATAAAAAAGGATAATGATTATTAATCAACATTAAAAAGAAGATAAAAATAATATTTGATTTTTAATTATTTTTTTATATTTAAAAAAAAAACTATTTAAACCAATTTTTTTTTTTTTTTAAATCATCATTTGAACAACAAATTAAACAAATAAAAACAAATAAAAAAAATAATAAATAAATTTTAAAAGCTATTATATTAAAAAATGTTATTTAGTAAGTTTTTATTTATAATAAATTATTTTAAGAAAAAAGTATTATTAATTATTTTTATTATTTTTGATGAATATAGAATCAATTGCTAATATTTCAATGTTAAACAATAAAACCAATATTAAAAATAATGAAAATATAGAAATTATCAATCAATGTGATAATAAAGTCAATACATGGAATCCCAGGTATGTATAAAAAAAAATTAAATAATTATAATATTATATACTTATGATTGTTATTTTTATTATTAGATATGTTTTTACAAAATTCAATCTCTTTTCTATGACCGCTATAGTCTAATTTGAAATAAAACATTGAATATATCTTTTTCATATGTTACCAAAGGAATTTTAAAACAATAAAATTATATAATTATAACAAAAAAAATAATAATCAAAAAAAAAAAAAAAAAAAATAGAAAAATAATGAAAATTTGTTTAAATAAATTGTCATAATAATAATTGTTTTTATTTTTATTACTTTTTTAATTAAAAAAGAGAAAAAATTATTTTATTTTGATGTTTATTTTATTATTTTATTATTATATACTATTATTAACTCACACATCACTGTTTTCTATTTTCTATACACTAGTTATTCTCCCACCAAAAAACCATATCAAAAATAAATTATTTTTTATATTTATATCTTTAATATTTACCTACACAATTTATTTCGATCTTCAGATTACACCAAATTGAAAACAATCAAAATTAATAACTAAAATAAAAAAATAAATGAGTTTTTAATTATCATTAGAAGTTTTCATTATATAATTTGGTAATGATCAAAATAAACCATTTTTTATTTTTTTTTTTTTTTATTTTTTTTTAAATTTTTATTTTTATTATTTTTTTTTTTTTTTTTTTTTTTTCAAATTATAATTATTTTATCACCAACAAAGTAAAATCAGCAAAAAAAAAAAAATAGTAGAATAAATGATAAACTATAATTATTTAATAACTTTTTTTTGTTTTCTATATTAATAAACACGTAACAACTAAGAGCTACTTTATAATTATTATCTTTTTTCGAAATTTTTTTTTGGTTTTTCTTGGTGGTGATTATTTAATTATAAACACACACATAAAAAGAGATTATATTTAAAAATTAGGAAAGTGATTAGATGACAATTACATTGTTATCATGGAACAGATATTTGACTACTGATAAATATCATATCCCTTAATGATTCCTTTAATTTTTATTTATTTATATACATTTATATTAAAAAAAACAAGACAAAAAAAAAAAAACAATGATAGATTTATTTATCTACTAAAAAAGGGTAAGATATAATCAAGATTATTAATGTTTTTTTAATTATTATAATTTATTAGGTATTAAAAAAAGGTTCGATAGTATTGTTAGTTCCAAATAAGAACATTATAATTTTGATTTATTATAATTTTTTTTTTTGAATTTCAGTACTATTTTACTTTTATCCAGTCTTTTTTTAGTATGTATATTTATAAAAGATTTAAAAAAAAAATAATTGTGTGTTTTTTTGGTTGTGTGTGGGTGTTTAAAATAATTATAATAATAATTTCTTTCTAATTATATGTCACCAAAAAGCACAAAAGGGTTTAAATTAATGTATTTAACCACTCCTTTTTTTATTTTTTTTTTTTAATTTTATTTTTAATTTTAATATATCACAACATTAAAATTTTTTTTTTTATCATATTTTTTTATCATATTTTTTATTTATTATATTTTCGACATCATCTTTATAATATTGATTTAAATAATAAATATTTATTCATACAATTTACAATAGTTTATAAATAAAATATATAATATTAAATAATAGTAAATTAACAAATAGTAAATAATATAATTAAATAAATAAATAGTATAATTAAAACAATTAATAATATAAAAAATAAAAAAATAAAAAAAAAGGTAATTATTTTTTTTATTTTTTTTTTTAAATAATCATACTAATTAATTAAAGTTAATCTAGATGATGGATTCAACATCAAAAGAACAAGAGATTCTTAAGGGTTATATTGAAAAGTTATCAAAATCCATAAATTATCAACAAATTAAATATGAATTATCCAATTTTTTAGAAACAAAGGATACCTTTATATCAAATGACTTCAAAGAGTTAATGCAAAAGATAATATCGGTCATTAAATCTCCAGAGACCTTAATTACATTGTCAACAACCAGTAAGCAAAGAATAAGCTTTCTAGAGTCATTAAAAATGGATACAATAATCGATCCTCAAGATCAAATATTTAAACCAATTCATTCAACTATAGAATCATTAAAAGAACTAAGAAATCAAAAAATTCAACAAATAAACCTATCAAATAAAGAGCTACTATATATAAATCAACTAATGAATCAATTGATCTCATCATATCAAGTGTATATTGAACAGTTTATAGAAAAATTAATACACAATTGCAAGAACAATCCAAAAAAGAATAACCTTACTCTTTTCAAGGAGCCTTTGATTTTAATTAATGACCAGTTACAATTCAAACAATTGATAGTATCCGATGATGAACTTATTAATAGTAGAATAGACCTGTTAAACAACACTTTAAAGAAGAGTAGTAGTAATCATAATATCAATACAATGGATAATAATATTAATATCAACGATAAAATCCAAATAAAAATTAAAAGAAATAATCCAGTCAAGGAAGATGCCTTCTATTCCTTCTTTCATCAGCTATTTAATGACCAAAGTAATTTAATAACCCCAACACAGTTTTTAATATTAAATAATAATAATATAAATAATGATAACTATAACAGTTTTATTCAAATGTCCTTATTTTCAAATGGTACAAGTCTAGAAAAATTCCTAAAAGAAAATCAAGATGATATTTTACAAACTAAAAGAATTAACAAAGAAAGTTTCAGTCATCATTTCCTTATTGATCTATTGCTCTATCCATCAAATTCTAAAGCCTCCCATTATATTTTAGACCCAAGTACTATGAAGTTAATAAGAGTGAACAATGGAAATATATTGGAACTAAATGAATCAAATCTATTAATAAAATCAAAATCAAATATAGATCCAATCAATACAAGTAACGGTATCACTTCAAATAGTCCATGTGAAAGTTCCGAAATTAAAGAGGGTTTAGAAAATAATCTTGATGGTGCTGATATTAATAATAACAATGTTTTTCCATCAACTTCAAATAATAGTTATAAAATTAATAATGTTAGAAATAGTTTCTTAAATCATTACTTAAATTTAAATAATATTTTATTTACAATGATATTATTAATGCAAGATACAATCCAAAAAAATATATATGATAAAATTATTCAACAACAACCAAATTTATTCATTTTAAATTGGTTAATTTCATTATTACATAAAGAACAAACATATGAGTCATTGGTAAAGTCATCATTTACAACAATTCCATACACTCCACCCTCAACTACTCATGCAGCAACAACAGCCACAAATATAACATCATTACCACATTCCAATACATCACTTAATGATTCCAATATAATCAAAAATATAAATAATAATCAAAATGATATAAACAATTATTTAAATAACTTTTATCAAAAAATAGATTTTCCATTAAAATTCAAACCTGGATCAATAGTTTTAATGTTAAAGAGATTCTTCAAAATTAAACATATTTTTGAAAATTATCAAAAACAACAAAATACAATTACCCATTATGAATTGTTAAAAGAAGTAGATCCATTGGCATTCCACTGCTACAAGTCTTTATCGTTTTTAAATCAACTACCTTTACAACAAGTTTCTATTATCAATAATCAAAAATTAGATATAAAGAAATTAATTATTGAAAATTCCACAGTATCAAGTTTAGATGAAGCCAATTTGCAATCACTATTTCAACAGGTTGAGAACTATAACTGTAGTGATCCTTCTCAAGATTTATCAATTAAAGAGACCATTAAAGAATTAATTTTAAATTCAGATTTTGGTCAGTTCAATAATGATAGCTATTTGGTTGAATGGTGGATCGAAACTATTATTAAAATTGGAAAATCAAACTATTTTACCCCGGATGAAATCCAGTTTTCAAGTTCTTGGAGAGATAATGCTAGTTCAATTATTTTAATATTATTAGAAAAAGATTCCCCAAGTCAATTAATCAAAGAGTTTATGCGAATTATAAAACTTTCACCACAAGAGTTAAATGATATGGATATTTTATTGCTATTATTAAATCAACATAAAACTATTTCAGATATAAAGATGGTTGGGAAGGTCTTATTTTTAATTTCAAATGGTTGTGATGTTAATAAAATAGGCGGAAAGAACCAAACTCCATTAGAAGTTGCAGCTTTAAATAAACTTTATGAAACATTCAAAATTTTAATAGATTATGGTGCAGGTAAAAAAACTGTACACTCTGTCATAAACAAATATTATCAATCCTTAACTCAAAAACAAAAATTAGATTTCAAACCATACCTTTTAAAGCTATCCTTTATAAACCCAAAAATTACATGGAAAATTGCACTACAACAACTTTTACCATTAAGCTCATTCCCAATTCCAAATAATACATCTGCTTTTACAATCATTTCAACTAGTACAGAAGGTGAAAGATTATTATCAAATGAGTTCTATAATCAATTGTTTAGTAGTTTTGATGGCTCCCCAAGAAAGACTAACCTTTATGGTACAAGACATGTCCCATTAATTCAAGATCAATATGGTAATGGAATTTATTTCAAATTTTTTCCACAGTTGCCCGGTACAGAAATTGCAATTAATAAATTATCAGAGATATTATTTGGTTATTTGACACCTTATTGTGAAATTGCATCTATCAATGAAATTCCGGTACTCTTGGTTCAACAAATTAATGGAGAGGTATTGCATGATGTAATAATGAACAACCCCGAAAAGCTTGACCAGTTAGATCCATCAAATATTTCAAAGCAATTAACAATGTCAATGATAACCAACAATGCTGATGGAAGCTTAGGTAATTTTATAATATCACCCATTCCCCAATTTAAACCAATCAGCAAAGCAAACTCTGGTCTATCCTATAGATTACTTGCAATTGATAGTGACCAATGTTTTTCACCATCCTCCAGTAGACAACTAAAAAATACAAATGGGTTTTTATCTACATTAGCTCCAACTGTTGCAAAGCAAATACAAATACCATCAACAAAACCATCACTCCAAGTGGAAACATGTCTTTTCTTTTTAAAACAAATGAACGAGCCAATTCATCAAGATATTGTCGATAGTATTGTTGGGCGTGATATTTTAGAGGTTTGCGAATATTGGCTTATAGGTTTAAAATTCCATCATCAATACTCTATTGATCACTTTAAACAATTTACAAAATATCAAAAAGATAGAAAGACTGTTATTGGTATTACATTTGCTGAAGGATATATTAAATATATTTTTTCAAAACTTTTAAGGTTGCAAAAGACATTAGAAAAAAAATCAATCAAAAGTGTTACCCATTTTGAACTATTAGAAATTTTAGAACCCACAGTCGCCAGTAGATATAAACAAATTCTTTCAAACAGTATAAAAAATTCACCTAGATCACCAAGAGCATTATCTCCAGCTGTAGATAGTTTTTCAAAGAAATTTATCGAAGACTATAAAACTCTTAAAGGTGCACAATTTTACAATTTAACAAACTCTATAAACTCTTGCACTTTCATTTTAGAATCAAGGGAATTACCAAATCCACAAGATATTATTCCTCTATTGCTATCAAATAAATTAGGTCCAGATCAAGCAATGCAAGAATTAAATGATATCAAAGGTCAAATAGATGCATTAAAAGTTTTAAATCTCATTAAACTTAATGAATCAATAATAGATTCATTGTTAGAACAATTTTTAAAACAAGCTAATTTCAACAGTTTATCGGCTCATCAACAAATCAAACTATTTAATTTAATTAAAATTAAAGATATACGATTCCTTTATATTGATAATAGTACCGAACTCACAACATCTATTTTCAAATTATTTAACTTGGACTTAATAAAGAAAATTTCAATTTCAAATTGCCGTTACATAACCAGTATTTCAAGTGGAGCAACACTTCTTAGTAGTAGTGGTAGTGTTATGGGTTACAACGTTTTAGAAATGCCTGTTCTCACTGACTTAAAGGTTATTCAATGCGATGGCCTTACAACCATTGAATTAAAAGCAAGATCTTTACACTCACTCAAAGTTATTGATTGCAAAAACTTACAAATCTTTGAAGTAGATGCTCCAAGTTTAAAGATTTGCAATTTAGATGGCTCTATCCAGCACCAGCCTATCTATACAAAATTATTAGAGTTTGAAGAATTAGAATATTTAAATATCTCTCGAGTTAATTTAATTTCTATTGGTTTGTTGGAACAAACCTTCTTTCACTTTAAAAACTTGAAAACATTTATTGCAAAATCAATCAAGCATAATGGAACTGTATATTTAAATATGCCAAAAGTGGAAACCATTGATTTTCAAGATTGCACCAATTTATCTTATATTAAAGGTGGTACGCCATCATTGAAGAGCTTATTACTACCAGCAAATTTATCTTCAACAGAAAAAGAAATAATTACAAGAATCAAAAAAAGATTTATAACTTTAGTAGGTAAATTTATAATTTCAGATCAATTCCAAAAAGAAGTTGACTATGTAGTAAATAGATCACCACACGAATATGTATTTGATATTCAATTCTATTCAGATTATTCAAAGATCCACTTCCCAATTTCAAGTTTAATTACAATATTTTTAGATTTATCCTCAAATAAAGATACAAGTGTTCTAACACGCGAAAGCTATTCGACCATTAATAGTAATTCAATTGCCCCATTTTCAATTAAAAATCCATGTCCAACTCTACTTATGGTTTTAGGTATTGAATCTAAGCAAGAATTAAATGAAAAACAATTGCAAGATATAAAGCAATATAAAAATAATCATCATATTCAAAAAGTAATTTATATCCCAATTATAAAATTCTCTTATCAGCAACACTATTTTAAAGATATTATTTTAAACTATTCAAATAACAATTTTATTGAAATTTTAAATACTATCGAAACTTTTAAACAAAATAATAATAAAAAAAATTTAAAATAAAGGTATTTTTAAAGTTTTAAAACTATTGTTATTCAGTTTTACAAAAAAATTATTTTTATTTTTCTAATTTAAAGTTGATTACTTTTGATATAATAAATCATCAGTACTTTAATCAACTACCTTTTTAAGTGAAGATGATTCTTCATTAACTATAGTATTTTTATTGTGTTTTGTTTTGGTAAGTATTTTATATTTATACCACATTGCACACAAGTTGGGCACAGTAACGTCAATTCATTTATGATTTGGAAAACCAAGATGAAATTCTTTTTTTTTTTTTTTTTTTTTTTGTAATGTATTCATATGCATTTTAGAATTAAATGAATATTACAGTTATAATTATATCTCAACTAAATAATATATTTATATTTTCCTTTATTTTAAATAATTTATTATTTAAAATTAAAAATTAAAAATAAAATAAAAATAAAAAATTTGAAAAATTTAAAAAATAAAATTTTATTTTTTAGTTTTCAGTTTTCGGTTTTAGTTTTCACAAACAAAGAATTGTATTTTATTTGATTATTAGAATTATTTATATTTATTATTTATCTATAACTAAAGTAGCTCCATCTACATTACATTTTAAAAGTGAAGATAAATTTCCATAATCTTTGGGAAGATTAATCATTTTAAAAAAAAATTGTTGTCTGAGGGATTCGAACCCTCGCATCAATGATATTGCAGCCTTAATGCAACCCCTTAGACCAACTCGGGCAAAACAACATTTTAATATTGCACCCTATTTTATTTTTTTTAACGGCTTTTTTTTTATAGTTTTGGTTAAAGATAAAATAATTTGTGTTCTACTATTTAATAATTTGCTTTATTATTATTATAAAAATTAACCTTTTTTAAATCATAAATAAAACTTTATTTTTATTATATTTTTTAAAATATAATTTTTAATTTTTTTTTTTTTTAAATTTTTTAAAAAAATAAATTAATAAAGTTTTTTTTTTTTTATTTTCATTTTTTTTTAAATTCAAGCAATATCAATCATAAAGCCATTTGTGTCTAGTATAGCTTAAATTTAGTTCGTCTCCATTTAGAATCCAGTCCTGCCAATAAAGCTAGCTTTTTTCTATTTATTGTATTTTTATTTTTATATATATTTATTTATTTTATATTTTTGTACATTTAACTTCTTTAAAATAAAATTACCCTATAGTAATTAATTAAAAAAAATGGGTATTATTTTTTCTAAAAAAGTAAGTATCTCTTATATTATATACAATAGAAATAAATATTAACTATAGTTTTATTTTTATTCAGAATAACTCCATTGAAGACTTCTTAGCTTTGGAAACCAAGATTTCAAATTTGGAATCCAAAATAAAAAACAAAGAGGAAATTCATTATAGTATTTTTTGGAGTATTTTTTTCTTCAACATAGTTATCCCAATTTTTTTATTATTTATTTCATTCACTATAGGTATAACTCTTTCAGATGACACATTGTTTTTAAAAACACTATGCTATTTATTTTCAGCAGTATTCCCATTCATGTAAGTTTTTCATTTTATTTATTATTTTTTATATAATATTGGTATTAACATTTATATTATCATTTTAGAATTTATATATTATGGATATCATTTGAATTCATATTTGGAACAGTAACAGAAGACTACCAAAATGAATTAATAGAATTAAATATTTATATGGAGATCTTATTAGAAGATAAAAACCTCCAAGCTGATTTAAAAAGTTTACAAATATATGAAAGAGTTATAAAAAAGAGTAGGTATCAGAAAGTATTAACAAATATTATTATAGTGATATAGTGTCTAACATTTTTTTTAGAAAATAATCATAGGGCTCAGCAACAACAACCAGAGAGACTTCAAGAGAAACCAAAAATACCCCAAATTTTAAATCAATGGGCTTCAAAAGAAATTGAACCAAAAGAAAACAATACTATCTTGGGGGAATTAAAAGCCATTAATAATCATTTGTCAAATTTTGTCGTTTTGAGAAGTTTAGAAACTGATCAACTTGACCTCTTTTTATCAAATATTATAAATTGTGCTATTTATTTCGAAAATGTACCAGATGATGTCAAAACTATTAGTAGTCTAATAGTTTCACAAGTATTTGCTCAAGCACATTTTGATTCAAATATTTCACAAGATCATATAGATATGATCGAATCATATATTTTAGAGCTATACAGAATCATTAATAAACACACAATGTATAGATATCATCAAATAGAAGGTACTATTTCCGTATTTAAACATTTCACAAATTACCTCCAAAATAATCAATATAATGTTATAATCAAAGATATGGTTTTAATCGACTTGGTTTGGAGTTCTGCTTTAAATTTCTTTGAAGATTTAGAATATCTTGAACTTAAGCAAGAATTCCGTCAATTGTATAATGATACCTATTATATCGTTAGCAATTATTTCAATTTTACCAGCGATACCATCCGTTCAGAAAACCTTATTAGATTTAATAACAGTATTAAAAATTTCTGGGGTAGTTTATAACCGATTTACATTCAATTATTAGTTTGGTGCAATTTTTAAATATCATTTCTCTGTTTCCTTAATCAAAAGTAACCAAGGTATTATATCTTTATTTATATTATTTATTTAATATTAACTCTTTATTAATATTTTTTTATATTTATTAAATTAAGATTACTATTTTCAGCATTTTTCTCTTTATGTTGTTGTTTTTTCAAATTAAATCATTCTATTGTTTTATTCCCACAGTAATTACAGCCCATTTCATTTTGAAGCAGTACAACCACTATATTTTAAATAATTTTTATTTTTATATTTAAATTTTTTATATTTATTTTTCAAATCACTGTATAATATTTTTAACATTAGATTCAAACAATAGAAAGTAAGTAAAATATCATATAGTTATAAAACAATAACAACCAACATATATAGAATTTGATTTAAAGTAATATTGAAATAGTGAAAAGATTATCTAACCATTTTAATTTTTATTTTTAGTTTGAAATACTTAATAGATATTAAATACTATTGTAAGGTCTGCCCATACGGATTTAAGTGAACAAGTGTCTCTACTATACCAACTATTAATTCCTATTCAACCCATTCCCCAAAGCTCTAAGATCAGCCTTTTATCCAAGATATCAGAATTCATTTGTCCTCAATCTTCCTTGGTCAATCAATCGTGCTCTCTGAAGCTCCATATACTAGTATCTTTAAGCAGCTTATCAAGTAAACTCCAATCTAAATTTTCAATCTAATCAACTTTTTGATGAATACCAATTTGTTCTGGCCAAACAAATATGGTAGATAGTCAATTAGTTCTAGATGAAAAGATTTAGATTTTCTTATCCTACAAACCTCTGTATATTATATTTCAAATTTGGGCATTTTTTTTTTCAGTTAAGAATTAGAAAGATGAAAAAAATTATTGAACCCAAATATCCACATAAATTAATAATATTAAAACCTAGAAATAACAAAGTCAAAAATCAAAATAGATAAAAAATATTTCAATCAAAAGATTCATAAATTAAAAGTAATAGTTATCTTTTTTTAAAATAAATTTTAAATTTTTTTATTTTATTTTATTTTATTTTTTTTTTTTTTTTTTTTTTTTTTTTTTTTTTTTATTAACTTTAATATTTGGTTTTATATATTCGGGTCCTCTTTATATTTAATAACAGTACTTTAAATATTATAGAATGAATTAAAAAAAAAAAAGTTATATTCCTTTTTTGAAAAAAAATTTAAAAAAAAAAAAATTTATTTTTGTTTTTTTAATTTTTTTATTTTTTTAAATATTTTTTTTCAAATATTAACGAAATTAAATTATTTGTAATAATATAAATATTTAACAATTTATAATAATGAATACAAATAATAAAAAAGCTAAAACTGTATCAAATAATAAAACTATAGCAACTAAAAATTCGGATAATGGGTTTACTATTGGTGAAAATACGATTTGGGATTTACAAGCAAGTTTATTGAATAGACCAGCAAGAAAACAAAGTACACATATAAATTCAAGATATGAAGATCATGATGTAGATACTACAGAATATAATATTTGGTATCATAGAAAGTTAGGAAATAAAAATTTTAAAGATAGGGATATATCCGAAACAAGATGTAATGTTTTAAAAGATTGTGGTAAAACAAGAGCTGGTAAAAATGCATATTTTTGTTGCCATTTTTCTAAAGGTAGATGTGTAAATGGAGCCGACTGTACGTTCCTCCATCGTGTTCCAACACCAGAGGATGATAAACGTTTAGAGATTACACATGATATTTTTGGTAGAGAAAGACATAAAACCGATAGAGATGATATGGGTGGTGTTGGTAGTTTTAGTAGAGATAATAGAAGTAAGTAAAAACTAACCTCTATCATAAACCAATCATTATATTCATTTTACTGACAATTGATTTATTTTATTTATTTTAATATAGCATTATATATTGGTGGTATAAAATCAAATTTAGGTGGATCAATGGAAGATGTTGTAAGAAAACATTTTGAAGAATGGGGAAAAATTGAATATGTACGTGTAATTTTAAATAGATCGATTGCATTTGTAAGATATTTCTATAGAAGCAATGCAGAATTTGCTAAAGAAGCAATGGCAGATCAAACATTAGATGGCGGTGAATTATTAAATGTTAGATGGGCAACTGAAGATTCAAATCCATTTGCTAAAAAAGTAGATGAAAGAAATGTTCACAGAGTAGCAACTGAAGTAATTAATAAAAGAATTAGAGAAATGACACCAGATGATCAATCAGCATTAAAATTTCAAATGACAGGTCAATACCCAAATACTGATGTTCAATATGATAAATATGGTCAACCTATTCAAGCTCCAAACTCAACACCCTATCAAATTCAATATCGTGGTAGTCAAAATTATGAAGTGCATCCATATGCTTTACAGTATAATAAAGATTTAGAAAAAAGACAAGAAACTGGTAATGTGGACGGCAATGTTGCCCCATTGGGCGGTGTTGGTAGTTACTATAGCCATGACGCTGGCCACATGAATAAGGAGCTTCAACAACAACAGTACGAAGAATATTTAAAATCATATTATCAAGCCTATGGTTATGACTATACAAAATTATCAGATGAAGAAAAACAAAAACTTCAACAATACTATCAATCCTATTATTATGGCAATCAAACTCAAAATAAAGAAAATGATGAAGACGACGATGAGGAAGAAGATGATGAAAACGATGATGAAAATGATGATGAAGATGAAGAAGATAATGAACAAAAAAAAGAAAATGATTCAAATAATGAAAATAACAAAAACCAAAATAACAAAAACCAAAATGAAAAAGAGGCAAACACTGACAAAGAAGACAAAGAAGATAATGAAGATAATGAATAAAAGCTTTAAAATAAATTGTTAATTTTTTTTTTTTTATTTATAGAATTAAAAATATATTCTTTAAAACTTTTTTTTCTTTTTTTTTTTTATCTAATAATTAAATATTTAACCAATTTTGTTCTATAACATTTTCTAAAGTAATTTCTTGATTCATTTCGAAAATTTCTAAAGAGGATTCTTTAATTTTATCTAAAATTGAATCTTCATCTAAATCTTTGATATTTGTTGTAATTGATAAAAATATAAAACGAAGATGTGAATGAATGTGGGAATGTTCACCTATAAAATTTGGTGTTAAAGTTGTTAGCGATGTACAATCGGTTAATTCTATTGCTTCTAATAATAACCATCTATCCATTGCCAATAGAATAGCATCATCTTTGATATTATAACAAGAGATACACGAAAATACCTTCATCTTTGGACAAGCATACACTAATTGTCTAACAACTTCATTTGATAAATTATGGAAACCACCACCAATAAACAATGTCTCTATTGATTTTGAACACTTTGATCTAATTAAAGTTGATAAAACTTGATCTTTTACCAAAGGTGTATATGCAATATCCAAAACACTTAGAAAGGAACATTCCTTAAAAAACTCCCCTAAATGAACTAAATTTTGTGGACTATTTGACATTTTGCAGTGAGATAAATAAAGTTTCTTTAATCCTTTACAATTTTTACCTAAAATTGAAAATATTTCCCATGTTATACCTTTACATTGGGATAATCCAATTATTTGCAAATGTAAATTCTTTTTTGAAAAATTCTAAATATATAATTAAATAAAAAAATATTAATATTTTTTAAAAAAAAAAAAATAAAATAATAATTTTATATTCACATTAAAAATTTCATCGGTCATTGGAGTACCATCTAATCTTAAAGTTGTTAACTTTGATAAAACTGACGACATTTCTTTTAAGTGGGACTCTTCTAATTTTGTGAATTGTAACTCTAATTTTACTAAATTAAGATTAACAGTCACTAAATCTATTAAACCCACAGAGGCTTTAACAACTTTTGCTGAAAAGGTCACTAAAGTTTCAATATTATTGGACATATCTGATAAACCTTGATTTGTAATTTTATTACAATATGAAATATCTAAATCTTGAAGATAAATACATTTTTTAGCTAGAACTATTAAACCCACATCATCAATTTCGGTATGTGAGATATTAATTGACAATAAAGTATTGGGAAAAACTCCAGATACCTCAAAGGCTAATTGCGACCTTGGAGTAAATAAATTTGAGGATGCTGATGAAATTGATGACAATGACTGAATGGAAGGTGATAAACTTATCTTTTTAACTACAGGCTGATCACCTCTTGGAGATATGGGTTGTAGTTGATGTTGGGATTGATTTTGGGCTTGAGGTTGGGACTGATTATGAAGTTTTTGGTTATGACTACTTAATCTTGGTGATAACAAAACATTATTTTGTTGTTGATATAATGTTTGATTTTGAGGATTTCTACTATCTCTTGGAGTTGGTGGAGCACTAATACTACCTCTATGAATAAATTGCTCACCAGGGGAATATAGAATTAAATTTAATAACTGCGATGTTAATTTTGGAATAGAACAGAGATCTAAAGAGGCCAAACCAGATAGTTTTGAAATGGACTGGGACAAAGAGGATGACAAAGAAAGGTCAATATGGCCAATATTTAAAGTTTTAAGCTTACTACAAGTTGTAGTAATTATTAATAATGTTTTTTGACTAATTTTACAACCGGCTAAATCTAAATAAGCTAGATTTGGTGATAACTTGATTAATTTTCTAATTACTTGATCGGAAATTAATGAGCATTGACGAAGTGAAAGAAATATCAATCCACTATCGCTTGAAAACAACCTTGGTGACAATACTAGATCGTATAAACTATTTGATAAAATATCTTCATTAATTTCATTTAACATTTGCTTTTGGTTTGAACTATCATAATTAATATTTTCATTTTGTTGTTGCTTTTTCTTTGAAAATATTTTATTTTTTAATGAAAATCTTTTTTGTTTTTTTAAATTTTGAATTGTATTACTATTATTTGAACTATTAGAGCTATTATTACTACTAATTGAACTTGTTTCATCAGAATCCGCTGCTAAATTGGTGGACTTATCAATAAACTCTGTTGATCTTGATTTTGATAAAACCAAGGGTGTTGAAAATGATCCTGATGTTGATACTGGTGTTGACGATGATGATGATGAGGATGATAGATTACTAATTATTATTTTTAGAAATGTATCATTGATATTATAGCAATTGGTGAAATCTAAATTTTGAATATTGGTACAAAGTTTTAAAATATCTTTTGTTGGATCTATTATAGAAACTTTACTTTTTACTACACTGAAATCTAATGATTTAATTTTATTATCTATTATTGATTGAAAAGGTGTTGACTGGAGTGTTATCTTTGAATTGTGAAATAATCTATACTCTAGCATAAAATGAATCAACTCCTCCCTTAAATCAAGAGGTAATTTTTCTAATAATATTTGGTTACTATTATTTGTACTATTAAAATATGGATTTTGATTTGATTCTATAATTTCATTATTTATTTTTTCTAAAATAATTTTTGATAAATGAATTAAACATAAATTTTTTAATGGTAATAAATAATTTTTTTTTAATTGATTTAAATATTCAAATTGTGTAGAAAAAATATTATTACTATTGTTACTATTATTAATATTATTATTATTATTAATGTTTATATTTATATTTTCATCTGAATTGTTTATATTATTTGTATTTTCATCACTGCTATTTGCTGAAATGTTTAATGATGATGATGATTTAGATTTCATTTTATATACATATGAATTATTATATATTTATATTATTTATATTACAACAAAAAACTTTATATACTATTTACAAAAATTAAATAAAAATAAAAAATGAATAAAAAAGGGATATATATATATATATATATACTATATTTGAAATTATTATTACTATATCAATAATTCATAGTGAAATGATTATCAAAATAACAGAAAAAAAAAAAAAAAACAATTTCTTTTTTCTTTTTACTAGATTATTATAATAAAAAATTATAAAAAAAAAAAAATAAAAATATAAAAAAAAATAATAAAAAGATATTATAATCATTGATTAAAGAATGCTTTTGCCAATCAGGTCTTTGAGAAAATTTCAATCATTAAATAAAATATCTTGAAAAAAAAAAAAATAAAAAAATTTGATTTAAAAATTATAAAAAAAAAAAAAAAAAAAATGAAAAAAAAAAAAAAAATTTTTAAAAAAGTCAGATTTATAGTGAATTAAATTATTATAAAAATAGATTTAACCTTTTTATAATTTTTTATTTATTTATTTATCTTAATTAATTGTTTAGTTTAATTTCTTTCTTTTAAAACTATTCTTTATGTTTTGTTTTGTTTTTTTTGTAGTTACAAATTAATTAATATAGACCTTTTTTTTTATTTTCTTGAATTCCCCCACATTCACACATAATCTGAATTAAGTGTATTTTTTTTGTTGTTGGTTGTGTCGATGATGATAATTATAGATCACACAGGTGATTTTTAACCAACAAACATCAAATTTTATTTTTTTTATTTTTATTTTTTTTTTATTAATCTATATTTATTTACTTTTTTTTTTTTTTTTTTATTAAATATTATAACAAATCAATATATAATAAAATAATAATTATAAATATAATAAAATAATAATAATATATTAATATAGTATTATTTAATAATTTTTTAATGTAAAGTGTGTTTGTTCAATAAATTCTATATATTTACAAACATTTTATATTTAATTTTAAACCCATATATCCAATAAAGCAATCAGTTCAAAATTAAATTTTTATTGATCAAAAAATAAACAAAAAAAGAAAAAAGAAAAAAGAGAAAAATTATAGATTTATGTATTTGTTCTATACGATATAAAAATATTATAGATATTTAATGTAAGTAAAGGATGTAAATCAACAATATATTTCCATTTTTGTATTTATTTTAAAAAAATAAACTTGGTGTTAAAATAATAACTCATAATAGATTTAATTTAAGAGTGTCTAAATATACTTAATAAATACACTATATGTATTTTTATATATACTATTATATAAATATATATTTATATATTAATATAAATATGTTGTTAGATAAAAAAAAACAACACACACACACACACACACTCACTCAACCACACACCATTATACTACTACTTTCACCCACTAGCATATTTTAACTCTGTGTATTAAAGTTTGTTTGTGCGGTATTGGGTTTATTATAATTTTGTGAAAAAAAAAAAAAAATCAATAAAAAATTTATTTTTATGAGTACATAATTTTATTTTATTTTATTTTTTTTATAATATAAATAATTATTTCTTTTTATTTAAAATAATAAAAATATATTAAAAATAGTTTTATTTTGTTGTTAAATCAAGGACTCTCAGAAAATAATAAATAAAAAAGAAAAATAATAAATAACAAAAAGAAAATATAAAACATTTCGTTGATTTAACCATTTTTTTTTTTTTTTTTTTTTTTTTTTTTTTTAAACAAATTTTTTTTTTTAAAATTTTTTTCCCCTTTTTTTTTTTTTTTTTTTTTTTTTTTAAAAAATTTTTAATTTTAATTTTTATTTTTTTTTTTTTTAAAGCGGGTTTGGGGAAATTAAAAAACCCCTAATTTTTTTTTTTTAACCCCTTTTAAAAAAACACCATTTTTATTATCCAAATTGTATTATAATAATAACATAGTTTTATTTTTTTTATTTTTTTTTTTTCAAATAATTTTATATATAAATTTTAGTTGAAATATAATATAAAATAAAAAAATAAACTTTTGTATCAATAGAAAAATCCAAATTAAAGTAATCAAGAACCAATTTTTATAAAAAAAAAAAAATCAATCAATCAGTATTTTTACATAATAATAATCAGTAAATCAATAATCAATTACAGTTCATTATAAACAAAAATGGGTTGCACCAATTCAAAAGTCCAACCAGATGAAAAGCAAAGTGATCAATTAGATAAATATCTCAGACAAGCAGGTAAAGAAGCTTTATTAGATTTTAGAATTCTTTTATTAGGTGCAGGTGAATCTGGTAAATCAACAGTAGTTAAACAATTAAAATCTATATATAAAATTCAAGTCGATGAAGAGGAGCTTGAAAGCTATGCAATCAATATTCACAAAAACACAGTACTTTGTATGCAAGTATTATTAGAAAATGGTGAAAATTTAAAGATTGAATTAAATGATCCCGAAACAAAGGTAATTAAACTATTTTTTTATTATGGGGAAAAAAAAAATAAGATTACTCATCCTTTTTTTCTTTTATTTTTTTTTTATTTTTAGAAAAGAGCAATTAATGTTAAAACTTTCCAATTTGAAGCAGATGTTAAACAAATGCCTGTTAGTCTAGGTTTAGATATTGAAGAGCTTTGGAAAGATGAAGATATTCAAAAAATTTGGGAAAGACGATCGGAGTATTGGTTTTTAGATGCAACTCCTTATTATTTTGAAAACATTCAAAGATTTTTAGAAGATGATTTTAGACCAACAGAAGAAGATTGTATTATGACTAGAGTTAGAACAAGTGGTATCTCTGTTACCGAATTTGATGAAGGACCAGTACACTTCCGTGTAGTTGATGTTGGTGGTCAAAGAAATGAAAGAAAGAAATGGATTCATTGTTTTGATGATGTTAAAGCCTTATTATTTGTTGTTAATTTAGCTGGGTAAATATAAAATAATTAAATAACGTAGTTTTGTATATATCGGATTGTTACTAATTTATAATATTTTTTTTTTTTTCTATTATTTAATAATAGTTATGATCAAGTTATGTTTGAAGATCCATCACAAAATAGAATGCAAGAATCATTAACATTATTTGGTCAAATCTGTAACAATCCAATTTTTGCAGATACTCCAACATTTTTAGTATTAAATAAAAAAGATTTATTTGAACAAATGATTCAAAAAACCGATCTCAGTAAATGTTTCCCAGATTATAAAGGTGGTTCAGATGTTAAAGTTGCATTGGACTTTATTCAAAGTAAATATCAACAAAAAATTCAAGACCCAAATAAACCTTTACATTGCTTTTTTATTGCTGCTCGTTATAAAAAAGATATTAAATATACTTGGGAAGAAGTTAAAGGTATTTTATTAGAAGATAATAAAAAAGTACTCCAAAAAGCTAACAAAGAATTAAAGAAATCAAAAAACAAACAAGAAAAATTAGATGCTGCTAATGGTGCAAATACAACTACTGCTAAAATTAATGGTTAAAAAATAATATAAATAATAATAATAAATAATAATAATCAAATAATAATATTGTGAAATAATTAAAAAAAAAAAAAAAAAAAAAAAAAATACAACCAACCAAAATAGATGATAATCAATAATCCAATAATAACTGATCAACCCCCAACCCAAGAAATTGTAATTTAAATCATCAAAAAATATTTAAGTTATTAAAAAAAAAAAAAAAAACCTAAAAAAAAAAATAAAGTGTATATTACTATAAAAAATTTATTAAAAACATCAAAGAATATTTATTTATTTATTTATTTATTATAAATAATTTAATGCGATATTTCATTTTTTATTTTTAGTTTTTGCTCGGGCATTTATTTCTCTTATTTTTTTTTTTTTATTATTTTTTTTATTTTTTTTATTTTTTTTTTTTAAAAAAAAAATTTTCGAAAAAAAAAAAAAATAGTTTTTAAAAAAATAAAAAAATTTTTACGGTCTTTTTGTTAGTTTAGTCTCTGTTAGAAATAACATATAATACATATACTTAATCAACATGGGTAGAATGCACAGCAACGGGTTGGTAGACAATATTTAAATCAATCAAACAATCTGCTTTAGTTATATATATTTTTTAAAAATAATAATAATAATAAAATGGATTGAATGATTAGATTTTATTAAAGAAAAAAAAAAAAAAAGAAAAAATTATTAATTTATAAATTAAATATTATAGCAAAGGTATTTCAGGTTCAGCCTTACCATACAACAGAAAACCACATTCATGGACCAAACCAACTTCAACTGAAGTCTGTGAAACTGTTTGCAAATTAGCCAAAAGAGGTTACACTCCATCAAGAATCGGTGCCACTTTAAGAGATTCACACGGTATTGCTCAAGTTAAAAATGTTACTGGTAGCAAAATCTTACGTATCTTAAAAGTTAACGGTTTAGCTCCAACCATCCCAGAAGATTTATACCACTTAATCAAAAAAGCCGTCACCATCAACAAACATTTACAAAGAGCCCGTAAAGATTACGACGGTAAATTCCACCTTCGTTTAGTCGAATCACGTATCCACAGACTTTCACGTCCATACAGAAAGAACGGTACCCTCCCACCAAACTGGAAATACGAATCAGCCACCGCCTCAACTTTAGTTGCTTAAGGTGTCAAATTCTTATAATTTTAAATAAAATAGAAGTATTCGGGGTGTATTATTGGTGTCAAAGCTAATGATATACTTTTTAAAACTGATACTTTCTATTAAATCAATATGTAGACCCTTTTCTTGTACGATTTTTTAAAATTTAAGCAAAGAAAATTCTGCAATCTAAATTGATTTAACGCATAAACTAAATATATATTTTTTTTTAAAAATATTATATTTAGTTTTTACAATCATCACTTTTTTTTTTTTTTAAAAAAAAAAAAAAACGAGATTTTTGTAATAAGAAATTTTGTAAAAATTATTTAAATATACTTTGGTATGTCTAAATTTATATACAATTATTTCTTTATCAAATCTTACACCTTAACAAAAAAGTTTGATAGCCCAGCGTTATTAAAGAAATCTAGATTTAGAAGTATTCTTTTTTTTTTTTTCATATTTAAAATTTTTTTTCTTTTCTATTTCTTTTTCTTTCGTGTTTTTTCTCTTTCTATCATACTAACAATTGAGATTAATTTAATTTATTAAATAAAAAAAAATTAAATAAAGAATGGTTTTTTAAGACCAGTTTAAAAAAAAAAAACTTTGTGCATATTTTATTTTTGGTTTATTTTTTATATAAAACACTTTTTATTTTGTTCTTTTATTTATATTACACAATTAATTTAATAAAATTAATTTTGAATTATTTAAAATTGGTAAAGGGTAATCATATTTACCAATAATTTTAACTTCTTTAATAGTTTTTGGTATTGAAGATTCGATTAATCTTTGGTTTAATAAGAAACAGATCGACAGAGTTTGCACAGAGGATGGTATGCTTGATACTATTGAGTGATTAAAACCGCCAATTGTAAGATCAGTAACTGAGCTTGGTATTGTGCCCTCCATCAAAGGTTGGTTATAATGGTTTGAGAATTGAAGCGAAGTTACAGAATTTGGAATGGAGCCTTGAATTAAAGGTTGATTAAAATGACCTTGAATAACAAGTTGAGTTACAGAGTTGGGTATTGAACCTTGAATTAAAGGTTGGTTGAAGTGTCCTTGGATTACAAGTTTGGTTACAGAGTTTGGGATCCTGTCTTTTTTTAAGGCTTGATTAAAGTAGTATCCAAATTTCAAAGTCTTTATTGAATTGGGTAGTATATTTTTTCTAATTTTTTGATTAAAAGCTGCACCAAAAGTAACCTCTGTTAGTGATGTCGAGGAAGTAAATGCTTCTTTAGTTAATGGCTGGTTAAAGTTGTTTGAAAAAGTTAGAGATGTTACTGATGATGGTATGGAGCCTTCTACAAGTGGTTTATTAAATAGATAGCCTAGAAACAAAGTTTTTACTGATGATGGTATGGAGCCTTTGTGTAATTCTTGATTAAACATATATCCAAAACTGAGTGTCTCTATATTTGATGGCAAAATACCTGGCTCTATAAACTGATTAAATTCATAACCAAAGCTTAATACTTTTAATGAGTTGGGAAGAGACCCAAATAGGATCTTTTTGTTTATATTATTAGTTATTTTTAAAACTGAGTTTGGAATGCAACCTTGTGGTATGGAGTAGTCACATTGTTTATTAGTTGTGGATTTGATACTGCCGCCAATTGGATCAACGCACAAACCAAAAATTCCAATGTGAAGTTCTAATAAATAGTCTCTGTACCTGAATTCATATAATGATTCAATATTGAAGGAGTTGATTTCATTTGAGGAGTATTGATTGATAATTTGGTATGTTTTTAAACAACTAAATATTTTACAACGAAGCCACTTATTACGAAAAACTTTAAAAAATAATATATCATTAGAATTGGTATTGTTATTATTAATATTAATATTAATATTATTATTATTATTATTATTATTTATTGAACATGACATCTTTTTTTATTATTATTATTATTAATTTATTTGAAAAAAAAAAAAAAAAAGAATGATTATTTATTTTTTTATCAAAACAAAAAAAAAAACACAAAAAATAAAATTAAATTATTATTAAAATTTATTTATTTAAATATTATTATAATTTTAAATGTTATTGGTTTTGTAAAATTAAGAAATTCATCACATTATTATAATGATGATGATAATATTAATATTAGCAATTACAATTTATTATTAATAACTTTTTGTATTTTTGGAATATAAAAAAAAAATCTCATTGAATCACAGTTTACACCCACAATGTTTTAACTACAACTTCCATCACATCAATATATTCACACACATTTTAAAATCATTTTTTGAAATAAAAAACGTTTAAATAACGTTAATTTTAAATGTGTGTGTTTATTTGTGAATTGTTATGTGTGTTTGTGTGTGTGTGTATGTCTGTGATCCAAATGGATTTATTGTGTTGGTTAAATCTTTAATGTTTTTTTTGAAAGAACAAAACAAACTGAGGCAAAATAAATAAAATAAAGGGTGGTGGTAATTGTAAATACTTACATGCATATGTTGAGTTTTTATTTCTTAAAATTGGTTATAATATTATTATTTCTAAATTATTATTTGTTTATTTTAATCATTTATGAAAATAAATATATGAAATGAGTTTGTTATAATATTATTTTATTTATTATTAATTATGGTAAAAGTAATTATATTTTAATAGTTTAAATCATTTGTTCTATTTTTTTACTTATTTGTGAAAAATGAGTATTTTTTAATAAAATTATTTATTTTTTCTTTTTTTTAAAATTATTTTTTTATTAATTTTTTTTTAAAATTAAAATTTTTAATATTTTTTTTCTTTTTATATTTTTTTTTTTTTTTTTTTTTTTTAATATATTTTTTAAAATTAATACAAACATAAAATGACATCTTCATTACATATAATATATAAATCTGGAAAATTTACAGTACCTGTTATAGCATCCAACTCAATGTTAGAGGTCTTTAAAAAGGGATGTCAACATTTCAAACTTAATGACTCTTCACATCAGTTAATGTAAAACATTTAATTTATTTTTTATATTTTCATATTGCATTTTCAATCCATATACTTATTATTTTTAAAACTATTGCTGTTTATTTTAGGTATGGTAATACAAATGTAAATCTTTCATTACCATATAGATTATCAGGTATACCAAATTTAAGTAGGGTTACAATCAGTGAAAAAAGAGGAACAACTATATCGACAATTAAAATTGCAATTCAAATGGTAGATGGTAAAAGATACCAAGCAAGCTTTAAAACAAGTTCAACACTTTGGGATATTTTAGTATATTTTCAAACAAATGAAAAGCTATCCATCATCGATCAATTTAATGAAAATAATCAATATATTGAACCAATTATTAATATTTTAAATAGAGAGGTAATATTTAATAGCAAAAGAAAAAACAATTGGTGAATATAAATATTAACAATAGTATAATGTTTTTTTTAATTTATAGATTAGCACAATTGAATTGCTTCAAAAATCATCATTAGCATCATTAAATGTTACAGAGTCATCATTAGTTAAATTAACTTTTAAACAAACTGATAGATCAAAAGATGAAATTTTACCAATTATTGAATCCTATCAACCCCCTAGCATTCAAACCACTCCAACCTCATCACCAACAACAGCAACAGCAACAACTACCACCACCACCACCACTCCAACTTCATCACCAACAAATACTAATACCACCTCATCACCAATAAATAAAACTATTCTATCACCAACTACAAGCGAAACCTCAGTCAAGTCATCAAATAGTACAACCCGATCAACAACACCATCAGAATCATCTTTAAACTCTAGTGAAAATACAACACCATCAATGGATATTGATAAGTCACCCAAAGTTAATGAACAGCAACCATTAAACAGTGCTACTCAATCACCAACCACCTCCACTACCACAGCATCAGTAGTTAATGCCTCACCTAAAACAACCAGTTCTAGCGCACCAGAACCACCAAAAATTATAACAATGGATCCAAAAGATAGAGAGTTAAAAGCATATTTACCAACACTTGTTCATATTAATCCAAAAGCAATTTCACATAATGAAAAATTAACAGATGAAGATTTCAAAAGATTAGTCGAAGCAAATAAAAGAATTAAAAAGGAAAAAGATGAATTTAACTCTGTACTCAGAACCAAGTCAATGAGAGAAAGAGAAGAATATAAGAAAATTAAAAACTTTCAAACTACAACTATTCGTGTTGTGTTACCTGGTGTTAGTCAAAAATCTTTAGAAATGAAATTTTTGGTTAGGGAAAAAATTTCAAATTTAGTTTCATACCTAAATACTTTACTTGTAGAACCCAATGACTCTTTATTTTTATGTAAGCATTATAAACACTTTGTTAAATATCATATAAATATCAATTAATTTCTAATTTTTTTTTTTAATTGCATATTCAGATACTACACCACCTTACAAAGTTTTAAATAATAATGTTTCATTTTTAAAAGAAAGTTTATTCCCAAGGGCAAAAATTTTTTTAGGTGTCCCAAATGGTACCAATATTACATTTAATGAAGAGGTTCAAAAACTTTTTGATGATTTATCCTCATCAAATACAACAGCCAATACAACCACAACAACCACAACAGCTACAACCGAAACTGATGTCGAAATGAATAACGCTGACGAAAATGACAACAATAATAATAATGACACAATTAATAGTTATGAAAACGAAGAAAGAGAAAGAGAAATTGAATTAGAAAGGGAAAGAGAAAGAGAAAAAGCAAGAGAAAACCCAAATCAAATCAAAGCTCCAGCCTGGTTTTTAAAAGGAAAAAAATAATACTATAAAAATAAAAAACAAATAACAAAATAATAAAATAAAAAACCATAGGTTTGTAAAATAAAAACAATTATATGATTAGTTTTTTATTTTCTTCAAAAATTTATTTTTGTGTTATTATTAAAAGGGGTTCATAAAAAACTGCATGATAACAGTGTTTGATCAAAAACCACACCATGTGCATATGCAAGATTTTTTTTTTTTTTTTAAAAAAAAAATTTTCTATTTTTTAAATAATGACTCATTGTAAACAAAAGTTTTTTTTTTAAAAGCGACAACACTATTTATATTTTCGGAAATTAAATAATGAGTCAAGGGTTAAAAACGAAAAATACTATAAGGATTGCGGCATTATAACTATATTGCCATAATAAATTTTATTTTTTATTTTTAATTTTTTTTTTTAATTTTTTTTAATTTTTTTTTTTTTTTTTGTAAAATTTTGCAAAATGAAGTGGTTTATTTTTTTTTTTAAAATTATAATTTAAATTAATTTTTTTTACTTGTGTGTATTGTCTTAAATCTTTTACAAATAAAAATACTATTATAATAATAGCTAATTATAAATAAAATATTTTTAATTATATTATTAAACAAATTTTTTTTTTTTCAAAATATTTAATTTAGTTTCATTTATATAAATACATTTATATTATAAACATATAAAAAAATGGGTTCAGTATCTGGTAATAAAGATTTAAAGGAAGTCGATAGTGAAATCTTTGAATTAATGCACAAAGAAAAACAAAGACAATTCAATGGCTTAGAATTAATTGCTTCAGAAGTAAGTAATAGAATAAAATAATAATTATTATAATTGCTAAATATTAATATAATTCATTTTATTTTTTAAAATAATAAAGAATTTCACATCAAAAGCTGTTATGGAAGCTTTAGGTTCACATTTCACAAATAAATATGCTGAAGGTTATCCAGGTTCAAGATATTATGGTGGTTCAGAAGTTGTTGATGAATTAGAAATTTTATGTCAAAAGAGAGCTTTAGCAGCTTTTCATTTAGATTCAAGTAAATGGGGTGTTAATGTACAACCATATTCAGGTAGTCCAGCCAATTTTGCAGTTTACACTGCTTTATTAAAACCACACGACCGTATTATGGGTTTAGATTTACCATCAGGTGGCCATCTTACCCACGGTTATCAAACTGATAAGAAGAAAGTATCAGCTTCATCAATCTTTTTCGAATCAATGCCATATCAAATTGGTGCTGATGGTTTAATCGATTATCAACGTTTAGAAGAAAACGCTCTTCTCTTCAAACCAAAATTAATTATTTCTGGTGCCTCTGCTTATCCACGTGAATGGGATTACAAGAAAATGAGAAAGATTGCTGACAGAGTTGGTGCTTATTTAATGTGTGATATGGCTCACTACAGTGGTTTAGTTGCTGCTCAACTTTTAGATTCACCATTCGAATATTGTGATGTCGTCACCTCAACTACCCATAAAACTCTTAGAGGTCCACGTTCAGGTATCATCTTTTTCCGTAAAGGTAAAAGAGTTGATGGCAATGGTAAAGAAATTGAAGAATACGATTTAGAAAGTAAAATTAATTTCGCTGTTTTCCCATCACTCCAAGGTGGTCCACACGAAAATGTTATTGCTGGTGTTGCTGTTGCTCTTAAAGAAGCTGCTACAGATGATTTCAAAGAATATGCTAAACAAGTTCAAAAGAATGCCGCTGCTATTGGTAATGCTCTTATGTCAAAGGGTTACAAATTAGTTACTAACGGTACCGATAACCATTTAATTCTTTGGGATCTCCGTCCACAAGACCTCTCAGGTAGCAAGCTCGAAAAGGCCTGTGATGTCGCTAACATTACTGTCAATAAAAATGCCGTCCATGGTGATACTAATGCCATTGCCCCAGGTGGTGTTCGTATTGGTTCACCAGCTCTTACTTCAAGAGGTTTAAAAGAAGCCGATTTCGAAAAAATTGCTGAATTTTTAGACAGAATCGTTAAAATCTCACTTGAAATCCAATCACGTGTAGGTAAGAAATTAGTTGATTTTGTCGGTGAAATTCACAAATCAAAAGAACTTTTAGATTTAAAACAAGAAGTCGAAAAATTCTCAAGCCAATTCACTTTACCAGGTATTTAAATAATTTATAATAATACTCAGTAATAGTTTTTAAATATTTTATTTAGAATAAATAAAATAATAATTAAACAATAATAATTAATATAATAATAATAATAAAATAATAGTTTTGTAAATAAATAAAATTTAAATTTTTTTTTTTATAATATACATTTATTTAATCTCAGTTACTCTTCTCTTGATTATTCAAAATGTTTTTATTTTTTATTTTTTTAAAATTTATTTTATTTTATAAAAATTATTGGGGACATAAAAAACCATTGGTCGAGGAAAAGTCAAATGATTTTTCTTATTCAGAAAGCTAAAAATTAATTGATAAAAAAAAAAAATATTTTGGTTACCATTGTTATAATTGCAATAATATTTTACCTATAATATGGGTATAAATGAAATTGGTGATTTTGAACCATTCTTAAATAATTCAATAAATGATGATGATTTTATAGAATATGGCCGAGAGGAAATAGAAAAAAAACCAATAGGTTTTAAAAATTTTAAATATAAAAAAGAAATTATAATTTTGTTGGTTATTTACTCATTATTAATTGTAAATTCTTTTTTGTATACTTTATTTTTACCATCACTATTTATAAACTATGTAGAATATCATTTCCCAAATTTACCACCTGGAAGTGATTCTCAGCAATCAAAAGCTGCATATTATAAAAGTTACAGTGATTCTATTCCAAATATATTTATGTTTATTTTTGGACCATTAGCAGGTGTTTTATCGGATAGGTATTTATAATAAATTCTTAAAATAATTAATTTTTATAAAATATATATTAACTCGTTTTTTAAGATATGGAAGAAAACCAGTTTTATTTGCTGGCGGGTTCTTATTAGTAATTGATATGGTATCATGTTATATCACTATTTTAACTCATAACATATGGCCATTTTATATTTTACATAGTATTGGTGGTGCTTCTAATATTGCAGCTTCAGCAGTTTTATCATTTATTGCTGATATTACCTCCGAAGAAGAAAGATCGTTGTTCTACATATTTACAGGGGTGGTATCTGGAGCTGGTATAATTTTAGGACCTTTGATTTTTATTGGTGCTAATTATACTAAAATAGATAATTTACCTCTTTTTCTTTCGATGGGTTTAACATCATCCACTTTGATTATGATTTTTTTTTTAAAGGAGTCTTTAGATATCGCAAAAGAGGATAATAGAATTAAATTCACCGAATATAGCTCATGGAACCCTTTCAAAGTTATCAAAAAGGTTTTTTCAAATGGATATGTTGGTTTGGTTTGTTTGCTTTTTATCTCTGTTAACTATACAGCTCAAGATATTCTCTCAACATATTATTACTATTGTACTTTAATGTATAACTGGGGAGCAACTATGAATGGAATTTTTATGGGTGGTTTGGGGGTCTTTATTATATTTTGGGGAGGGGTTGTAATTCCACAATTATTAAAAAGATATTGTATGTTATAATTTTATTTAAAAAGTTAATTGTTTTATTAATAAACTAATTTTTTTATTTTATAATTATAATAGCACAACGTAGATTAATATCTTTAGGTTTGTTAATTAGTTTTTTGGCTCATATTGGTTATGCACTTTCATTAAAACAATATATATTTATAATTGCAGGAGTTTTTGGTGCATATGTTCCTAATAATATTTATTTAATTCAAAGTGTAATCTCAAGTTCAACATCACCCGAAGTTCAGGGCTCAGTAATATCTGGTGTCCAAGCAGCAGGCTCTCTTGCTGGTTTCTTGGGTGCTTTGGCTGCAAATGATATTTATTCATTCTTTATTTCTAAAGATTCACCAGTTTATTATCCCGGTGCTATATATTTATTTAATTCAATAATTGTTTTATTAACTTTTTGTGGCTCTTTATTAATTTGGAAATTTTATGAAGATCCGCTAAAGAAAAAATAAATAAATGAAGAATAATAATAAAAAAATGATTTTTAAATTTAAATACTATGCGTTTGTTTCAAAATTTGATTAATTCTGCAACAATCAATTTATTCAATTTTTGTCTTTAACCTCCTTGCATTGTGGTTAGTGTACCTGATTGCATTTTTTTCCTTTGGTATTGCGAACACCCTTTTGTTAAATTAAATTTTTTGTATATTTTTACATTTTTTGATATATTTTTTCATTTTTTATCTTATATTTTCATTTTTTTGGATAAATATGACATAAAATCAAAAAATATGAAGAATAAAAAAGTATGTGGTTCGAGGTGTTATTACCATTTTCTATTGATTCAAATGCCGCAGACAGCCTTCTTTCAGTATTCTCCTCTTAATGTGTTTGTTATCTCTTTAATTTTTTTCCATTTTGAAAAAAAAAGTTAGAAAAATTGAAAATTCGAAATCTGTTGGGTTAAAAAAAAACTTTTATAAAATAATGTAATTTTGTGTTCTTTTTGGAACCAACCGCATAATAATAAACTTTGAAAATTTAAAAAATTAAAATTAAAATAATAGATTACAGTTTTATTAATAAATATTTTTTTTTGATATTTAGTAGTTATTAAATGAGTTGTTTTTAAAAACAACCCAGTCAAAATTAAATTCGTTTGGTATACCGTTGTGAGCAACATTCATAAAGTTACTATTAGATGACCAAACAAATGGTTTTTGATTGTCAGTAGTAGGTCCACTGATTGCTAGCACTGAATTTTCCAATAGGTTATTGTATGAGGTTACTTTGGTATCTGTACACCCGAATGGCTTTGGATCATCTGATAACAGGTCATAACGAGAGCATATGGCATAAAATGGAGTGCCATGTGAAAGTGGATCAGTTTGGAATTTGTTATATCTTAGTAATGCTTTGAAAGAGTCTAAAGATTCAATTGAGCCTACATCACGACGGAAAATTTCGCTTCTTGGACATGTTTGATAGCTTAGATAATAGATTTTACTGTTAGTATAGTTGTTGGAAGTGAAGTTGTTATAACCAGACATGTTATAAATAGTTTCATAGAATGGAATATTGAATGAGCTAAAATACATTTCTCTTAGTAGGACTGTTTGATCATCATATTCAATATACTCTGGTATTTGTTCTAAAACATATAAAGCACCATCTTTTAATTCTTTATATGGGGTAAATTTTTTGTAGTCTATTACCATATATTGATTATTGTATGTCCCACTGTTGTATCTTGAGAATGTTTCGCACCATGATTTGCCGTCATTAGATAATCTATTTGTAATAGTTATTCTAATCCAACTTAAAACACCTGAATATGGTCTAATTAGTTTATATAGTTCTGGATTTAATAATGAGTTGGTGGTTTCTAAAACTACTAAATTTGTATCTGCCATTTGATAAAAATCCTATATTAAAAAAATTAAAAAATTAATAATTATTAAAAATATATATATTATAGTATTACATACATCAATTGAAATTAATACACCTGGATATGAGCTAAACATATTCCTTCTTGAAATGGTACCTGAATATTCAAAGGAATATCCATAGTTATAGCTTTTGAAAATTCTTAACATTGTATTATACCCTGTCCATGTTGTATGTGCTATGAAATTTATAAAAAAAATAGTTAGTGTTGAAAATGAGATTAAGTTTTATAATAATAATTACCTGCATATAGTTCTGAATAATCTGAAGTTAATTTGATTAGTGCGGAGCAGTGTTGGGTTTTCATAAAGTAATCTTGAATGTCATTAAAATCTGATGCTCTTTTAGCAGCTGGAAAATTACCCATGTGGAGGGCTGGCCCCAAATCACCCAAATCACCATACATATTTAAAACGAATAAATCGAAAAGTACTATAGTTTGCTGGTGTATCTTTGATCTATTATTTGTTAAACTTAATGCATAAGTATAGCCATCTAATAAGCCATTCATTTGAGTTAATGTTAGGTTTAGTTGTCTCCAATACCATGAATCAACATTATTTACAATAAATTCATGCTTATTAAAAAAAAGATAATGTTAATAAAAATAATAAAATTAAATAATTTTTTTAAATTATTATTATTATTATATCTTACCATATTATAATAGTTTTCTGTTAACCAATCATTTAAAACTTTTGGGATTGTGGAGGAGTTGAAATAATTTGTATAATAGTTATACTTACTATCCCAAATCATTTCTTGTGTTAAATAGCCTTCGAGATAACCTGCGGCCAATGCTTGAACATAATCATCATATTTTCCATTTAAACTATTGGTTTTCAATGATAAATAGGACCAACCATTAACGCTTACATCGGGCATATAATAAACATAGGCAATAGCATTTTCATCTATATAGTTTATAATTTCGAATTCATTTGATGATGATGGTTTTGAAAATCTAATTGAAAATTCTAAGATTGTACTATTTCCTTGATTGTTTTGATTTTTACTTTGCTTACTGGTATTATCTAAGTTATTTAATATATTAAAATGGTTTTGATTTTTTGTGTTTATTTTTATTGAATTATTTAAATTTATATAAAATAATAATAAAAATATAATAGCTGTTATTTTCATTTTATACATTTATAAATATAATAGATGTGTGAAAAAAAAAATTAAGAGGGGGTTTTAATAAAAAAAATTAAAAAAAAAAAAAATAAATAAAAATAAAATAAAAAATAAAAAAGGTTGTGTGAAAAAAATTTTAATTATTTGGTCAAATTAAGAAGCTTTAGTAATCAAAAAAAAAAAATTTACAAACCAATTTATTTTAAATAAATAGAAATCGAATGGAAACTATAAAAAATAGCTTTTAATAAAAAAATAAAAAATATTGTTTATAAAGAAAAATTTAATTTAATTTATTGTCTAGTTATTTATCTGTTGATGTTAATGATTTTATAATTGAGTGATATTTAGTTTCTTTAAATTCTAAATCTTTTCTTTCGTATGTTGATTGGTTTAATAACAACTTTAATAAATTTTCCCACCCAGAAATTAAACTATTGGTATTATTATTATTATTATTATTATTTTTTGATTGTATTTCTTTTTCAAACTCTATTTCCTTTTCAATGTTAATTTCTTTTTTATTATAATAGTTACTTTCATTTTTATCATCATCTATATTGTTATTGCTATTATTGTTATTATTATTATTTTGATTTACCAACATCCATGGACAAAACCATCTATGCTCTTTGACTGGTGAAAATTCAGTTTTCGATTTTGCTTTGGATTCAAGTGCATGTTTGAAATCGGTTGGTTGAGAATTTAAAAATGACTCACCCCAACTCCAACCACTATTTTTAGTGTTGTTGTTACTCTCTACCCCCGTATTATTGTTTTTATTGCTATTGCTGTCGTTTTGATATATATTGCCAAAAGATGTTTGAAAACTACCTGAAAATGCTGAAACAAATGTACTCTTTTTTGGTGTATCGTTATTACTATTAAAACTAAATGATTGTGCTAATGCTCTTTCAAACTGTATATTTTGCTTTTCTTCTTCATCATCACCTCTCTTCCTTTTACTTCCTACAATGCTGCTACTGAAAACACCACTCGATGTATTTGTATTTGGTTCTTCAAAAAATGGATTGGTTTTACTTTTATTCTCTATAAAATTCCAAATACCACAAACTCTTTGACAATATGAACAATAAATACTACTTTCAGTTTTCTCTTTTGAACCATTATTATTGTTTGAAATTGGTGATGATGTTGGTGATAAAGTTGATAAATTAAAATCCCAACCACATAAAGCTAAAAGACATGATGTTTTTGATTTTATATCATCGATTGGTAAATTTGAGATTTTAATAATTGAATTTAAAATATTGTCTCTTTCAAGTTTTTGTTTTTCATTCTAAGATAAAATAAATATGTTTCTATTAGTATTTTGAGTACGATTTCAAAGATTAAACCTTTAGTTATAATACGTTACCCATTGTTTATGAAATTCATCAGATAATAATGGTAATTTATCTATATTATTGTATATATTTTGAGATCTTTTAATGAAGGCATCCAATTGAGTTTGAAATGGTATATCTAAAAGTCTTGAAAAGAATGATGGGCAACCATTATTATCTCGCCATGGACAATTATCCCTATGTCCATCAGATTGTAAACTTTTTAAAAACTCTTGAATTCTTTTTGTTACTGATAAAAAAATTAGTATTTGGCTTTTTAAACAAACAAATTTTATAAAAAAAAAGAGTATCTTACCTAAAGTTTTATTTAAATTTGGTGGAACTTTAAAATATAACCTTTTTTTACAAGTTTCACATTCCAACATATCAGGTTCACAATTGATCCAACCAAATCTTGAACATTGCAATGGATCTATTTCGGTCGGTTTAGCAAACCAATTTGAAATTGTGTATGTTCTAACTCTATTATAGTAATCTGTATTATTCCATGGTCTATATGATGAATAAAGCAATGAGGTAGATGAAGCTAAATCACTATCGGTAAATGAAATACTATTGTTATTATTATTATTATTATTATCATTACCGGTATTGCTATTATTGCTATTATTATTGTTTTTACTATTATTATTATCAGATGCGAGGATTATATTATTTTTGTTTTCGTTTATGAGGTTATTTTTTAAAATTAATTCGTTTGATAAAATTGGTAATTGATTTAAAACTGTGGCACTGTCCAGATCGTTGAGTGCTTTCTTTATACGCTCATCCATTACACAAAATTTTATTTTCTGTTGAATTGCCAGTGGTAGACAGATGGTGTTTTATTATTTAAAAAATTTCAATAAAAATTTAAAAAATAATTTTAAAAATAAATTTAATTTAAAAAATAAAAAAAAAAATAAAAAAAAAATAGAGGTTATATTTTTTTTTTTTTTAATTATTTATAATAATCTTTCAAATATCTGAAGGTTATTTTAAATCAATAAAATAAAAAAAAAATAATAAAAATAAAAAAAATCATATTTGATTTTTTTTTTTTTTTTTTTTTTTTTTTTATAATTATATTTTTTTTTTTTTTCTCAAAATAATTATTTTTAAAACTATATTTTAAACAGTTGTATTTACTTTTTATTAATAATTTAATTGTATTTATATAAATATATTTAAATTTTGTTTTATTAATTTATTTTACTATTTATTTTTTTATTTTTTTATTTTTTCTATCCATTGTATTTTTATTATTTTTTTATTGTGGTGCTGTATATATAAAATAATACAAGCAAGAAATTGCAACAACACCCCCACATCCAACCACTAATAATTTCTCTTTAAAATTTAAAAAATAAAAAAATTATTAAATTATTTTTTATTTTAATAAATTGAGAACATTAAATTACATTATAATTTTTCCAATTTCTATATATATTTTAATTAAGTTTTACAATACACATTTTTTTTTATTATTTTAAATTCAAATAAATATAACATAAATATAATAACTTTTTTTTTTTTTTTAAACAAAGAAAAAACATTTTTTTTTTTTTTTGTTTTGTTTTAATCTTTTTAATAAATCTATCAAAATTTTATATCTTTTAAAACATATGTTGTTAACATTTGTTTATTAGTTTATTTTCTGTTTTATTTATATAAATTTTTTTTATTTTTTTTTTTTTTAATTGTTTAATTAAAAGTAAATATTTTATTTTATTAAAATTTATGGTTTTAAAAAAAAAAAAAAAAAATAATATTAATAACTAATTCTTCCCTAAATAATTTTTACTTCTATTTTCTTTTTCTTTTAGATACTATGGCAGAAGTTAAATCAAATAATATTAAAAGAAGGGGAGAACTTAAAAAACACTCCTCAAAAGACAATATACTTTCTTCATCTTCAGGAAATGTAATAAAATCCCAACCATATTTATCCCAATGCTATAGTAATAGTGAAAAACAAGGAAATGGTAAAGATTTACAAGATAAAATATTTAGACAAAATGAAAGACATTCAAATGGGG